TGCCCTTCTCGTAGCACGCTTCAAAGATGCGGCCGAGATGGACAGTCTCTCCCTATCGGTTGGCCTCACTGACAACCTTTCGGCGCTCTTGAACACGGAATGGCCTTTGGAGTTCGAGCAACCTCGTCGCGAGAAACAAGCCTGGCAACAGCACAGAAAAGTTCGAAGGCGACTTCGAACTCGATTTGCTTGATACGCTGGGCGACAAGCTCCCGAAGCGGGAGGCGATGCGGCTCTGGTTGATCAAGCACTTTCCGCGGCATGGCAGGTGCCCCGTACACTGTTTTGGGTGTGGGCACGGCTTCCCAGCTGGGGCTCGAATCTTCGGCGCCAGGGCTTCGGTTTGACCCGATCGCTGGACTTGTGGTCTTTGGACCTTTGCTGGAGGAGGACTTTGCTTCGTCCATTTCTTTCAGCAGCTTGGCGCGATCTTTTGGACCAAGAGTCTTCCAATAGTCGGAGGGAATGTCCTTTGGACGCTTGCTGCCTTTGTACGTTTTCACCACGCGAAGACTGTCCCAGTGAAAACCTTCAGGAATAGGGACCCCGGCCGGCGTCGTGTCGGGCTTGTAGTCCTCAGCCTTGTCTGCTGCAGTGAAATCGAGTTGGGGTTCCTCACCCCCCTGTTCGGGTTCACCTTCTGGCGCTTGTGATGGTGTGCACTCGGCAAGGTCAGCATCAGCTAACGGAATCGGATTGGGAGATTCGATGAGGTTGAGCTTTGGATCGTCAGGGATGGCTTCCTTTCGATCTTGCTTGACACGCAAGGGAAAACTGAATCCACCTGGCAAGAGTTCGATTTTCTTCATTCTCTGGATGGTCAAACTGTTGTGTTCAACATGATAATCTAGTGCTTCCAGTTTGGCAACTAGATACTCCCCTCGCCATTTGTGTCCCGGCTGCACGTGATAACCGAGGAACACACCTTCCACCGATGTGGGCGACAGCTTTCCTGCTGTATTGTCGGCTCGATTGGGGTTGTTCCAAAACAGGACTTTTGCGCGAAATGGGATTGACATACCTTCAAACATATCTCCAAAACGCAATTCCCATGGGCTTGGAGATGAATCCAGCTGGTCACTCGTGTTCGTTGCCATGGCGAAATGCTGAATGGCAAGTGGCCAATACTGGAGAGGCATACCCGTTTGAACAAGATTGGTGCGTGCTCCCTCTAGCATATTTCTGACTTCCCTTTCAATGAAGCTCTTTGAGGAGTCCACGTACTCAACGGAGGTTTGGTGACGATACCCTAACTCCTTGATACCAGCGATCAACTCACGGGAATTGTCGGTGTAGATTCATCCGGGGCAACAAAATGCTGAAGTGCAACCACTACCTCATCCGAACTTTTGGATTGAGCAGGGTAAATACTCCGGAACTTTGTACGCAGGTCTTTCACAACCAACGCTACCCGTTCACCACGATTTCCTTCTTCAATGTTCGCACGCACGACGACGTGGTCGGCAATCAGATGGTCACCAAACGCTTTAGTCTGAATGCGGCTCTCTCACCCCCTTTCTTTCGTGCCTGAGGTGCAAGCATCCTGGCTCGCTGACACACTTTGCAGAATGGTTTTGGGGAAGTGATGAAACTGGTGTTTCGCAGACTGTGCCTCACGCGTGAGGTCCCCTACTTTTCGCGATCGTACCAGACGGCTTTCTTCATCATCTGGCACTTCTTCATCAATGCCCTCATCCTCTTTCTTGTCCGATGGGCTCGAGATCGCTCCCGGCAGTGCAAACAACTTCTTCAGGGGTTTGTCCTTCTTGAACTTGCCCTTACCAAAGACTTTGCAATCGGAATCGAGGACTGGGACATGACCGTCAACACGAGGCTGAACAATTTTCTCGTGCGGTCTAACCAGGATGGGAGTACCATTTGCCGGCCAAACGAAACTGTACCCTTGGTCAAGACACTTGATACCGACAGATAGCACAGCGGGGCATTCGTCCAGCAAATATGGCGCGCACGGTTCCAGTAGCTGCTTCATCCAAACATCGGCTACTTCGCTTGCTTCGGTCGACCCATTCGCAGTAATCAAACTGATGGTGTGAGGCGCCCTACGGGGGTTCTCTGCACCAGCAGCGTCCATGACTTTTCTGCTGAGGAGGTCTTGCTCGCTCCCTGAGTCGACCAGCCAAGAGAACCTGCCCTCCCTTGGCGCCGGACTTGCTACGATGGTTGGGGTTGCCGTTGGACAAGACTTCAGTTTGATCAAGCTCCTGCAAGCACGGCACGAGAGCGACGACTTGGTGCACTTGAAATGGCATGATGGCACATTAGGGCACTCGAAGTTACGAACGACTTCAGCCAACTGCCTGGCTTTCACCTTGGCCAAGTTGGTTGCCTTCGGGTCGCTCTTGGGCACACGATCGCTCGTGGCGTAACGCAGCTTGCGTGGTCTCTTGACCATCTTGCAGTGTTCCCCACGAGCGGGGATGGTGCGGATCTCGGGCTTCATGACAAAGGTGACTCTTCGGACAGACGACCTTGACCTCCTTCGCGCTGGAGGAAGACAAGGCTTCTTGAGACAGGACTGACCGGGTACACCAGTTGCTAAACATGCAAACCGGTTACTCAGGCAAATGGCGGCATTCTTTGGGTCCCTTTGGCTTTTCCTGGCTTTGGGGATTCCTTCCTAGGCTTCGTCTTTGGAGCCGGCGCCGCCTTTTCTCCACGTTTGAAAAAGCACGTGTCTCCCCTCCTACACGTACCCTGTTGATCATACCTGCATGGGGTTCTGGCCATCTCTTCCTTAGTCATCCGCTTCTTCTCTTTGTCCTCGCTCTTGTCCCTTGATTCTTTCCGCTCTTTAGACGGCTGGCGCTTTCTAGAAGGGTCGCGTTTGGGCTTCTCATGCTTGAACTTGCAGGCCCAACAAATTCCCTTTTCACGGGAAGTTGGCCGTCCACGCGATGGGGAGCGCTTCCGCCGAGGATCCACTATTGGAGCTGCGTTCTTTTCGCTTCGATCACCTGGCTTGAGCCGGTTTCGCTCAGCGATACGTGATCGATTCTCGCGAAGGCGTTCCCGATCTATCAAATCCTTGATGCTTTGCAGTAGGAACTTGTAAGACCGATGGCGATCACCTTCCTTTGCGCGATCAAACAGATCAATGTCGTACCTTAAGATTGAGCTAGTTCGGATCTGCCTCAACAAGATGTCCCGTAGCACGTTCTCGTGCGGTGGTTCGGGCATACCGGCGATGGTAGCGTCCCAGCGGTTGATGAAACGCTTCAATTCCGCCACGGTGTCGCCGACCTTCACTACATTGAGGAGATCTTCAACCCTGCAAAGGCTCCCAGCTTCTTCTGAGGTTTTGAAATAATCATCGAACATAAGGACAATCATCCTTCCACGAACTTGGATGCCTAGCTTTGCCTTCTCTTCTTTGTAGTTGATGATTCGGTTGGCTAGGTCACCCTTTGCACTTCTGGTCAGCGCAGCTGCCAATTTGGTATCCAAAGTAGTGAACTTACCTGGGCTTGACAACCGATCTTCCAGAACACTTCTTTCATCAACGGTGTTGTATACCTCCATCAACCAGTCCCAGGCTGCGTCTGGTTTGTCTGAATGTGATTTGATTTCGTCCCTCACATGGTGTTTCCATTGCCGATAGGTTTCAGGGGTATGCATATCATTCAACTTAATATGATCTGCCTCTTTGACCTTTGGCTTTTCATCTGAATCCCTTTGGGTGAGTGACTTGACCAGTTCGATCACCTGCTCCGAGGCGATAGCACCTGATTAGGCTGGCTTGTGGGGTTCACGAATTGAAGGTGCAGGGCTATGAAACAGGTGAGTTGGTGTCTTGCCACTGTCCAACCCGGTACCTCCTAGAACAGGAAGCACAGGCTTAAGTGGTGCGGTTGCCCCAGCAGGGGCATCACCAGTGACGGTGGCCACGGGCACTTTAGGTCCGAATAACCCACTCAAACGTGCACTGGCCTCTGCAGCAATGGTCTCAAATGTACCTTTCTTTTCTTGCTCGCCTTGCCTAGGCGTCATCATTGGCGAAGCATTCATGCTCGTTGGAATATACTCTGGCTCGACGGTGTCCTTGTTGTCAGCCCTCAAGTCATCGATGATTTGTTGTAGGCTATAGTTCTCATTTTCTGCCTCTCTCAAACCACGCTGAAGTTTGAGCTCGTGCTCATCAAGCTCTGCACGAAGTTTCACTACACCTTGTTCAGCACTAACTGTGATAGCATTTGCTGTCTGCTGACATTCATGCATGAGTTGCGTGCGCAAAGAATCCATCTCTGCTTTCTTTGCTTCAGCTTCCAATGCTTTATCATTCTCTAGCTTGAAGATGCGTGCCCTTGCAGCGCTAAGCTCTGCTTGCAGCTTGTCATAGCTAGACTGGGCTTGTTGCTTCACCGAACTGACTTCCTCATGGTGTCTGCCTTCTACCTCAAGGATCGCCTGATGGAATTTGGCTTTTACCGTGTCCATCCATTGTGCTGATACCTCTTTGTGCCTTTGTTCAGCCTCAGCAGTGATAGCGTCCTCATTACCATTGTACACTTGCTGAGTGTTCTGCTGCACGAATTGGAAGTACGCCGTTACTGGAGCTGAACCCATGGGATCATCGAGATCTACATTGGGGCTCAGTCCCGAGACCGGCTGGCACAGCGACCGACGATGTGGCATTACCAGGAATAGCGAGAGCATCCATGGCTGTGGTTGGAGCACTACGGCTGATAACCTATAGAAACAGCCGTTAAGCTGCAACACCTGTTTTGGGCCGCGAGCTGCAAAGGTATGGTCTGTATGACATCCTACATATGTGCAAGGTAAAAGTGTACATATTACATGGAGTGAAAATACACTTCCCAACACCAAGAGCCACATGGAAGACAGTCGACCATGAAACATATAGCTTTTGAAGCTGGGGAATGTGCTATTGAAAAAAAAAGTAATATGTCTTTCAATGCTACGTATGTTTTCAGGAGAGTATATATACAGTATATGTAATACACACATGCAATAATCCGTGCCTGGAGGTGGTGACATGCCACCGGAAAATGGCGAGCCCTGCAACCTCAACGGATTACAAACGGCACACACATCAGGACATGAATACAGAAAGCCTTCAGTGCCATTGGGTATACTCAGACAAGCACAGGGTCCCATTGGAGGGTGGAGAGAAACCCATGCGAGGTGGAGGGACTGGTGTTGACGCCTGCTGCAAGATTGTCCAAAAGGATGCACGTTGTAAGTGAGATACACCGTGGCCTGAACAGCGCCGGGCTTGTAGGTGGGATATGCACTTACTGGGCCTGAAGCACAATCTGTTGGTATGTCGGAGAACGCAAAGCTTTCATCAACACAAGAGCTGATGGTGCGACTTCCAGAAAGTCTGCTTGTTGGCGACGCATCTGGCGGAGTCGAAATCCCCTGACGTGGGAAAGCAAAGGTATTGCAAGATGTTGCCTTGCGTCCGTATTATGTATGGCTTTGCAGCCATCTTGCAACATCACATGAGAGTTAGTGTCCAGGCCTCTTTGAAGAATTTGATCTTGGACATACCATTCTCATTGAGAATGTCCGGCCTTCGAGCACAAAGGTGCATGGCAGCCCAGGATCTATAATGTGACTGACTACTCGCGGTAGCCTGGAGTTGCTCACCGAAGATGTTCTTGAAGCCTTGTTGAAGAAATGCCGAAAAATCAAAGGTACACACAAGAAAATGTACAAAAGCCACACACAAGCATCTAAGCTCCTGTCGTCAATAGCATCAGCAGACGGTTCCGTTTTCGCCGTGCTGATGCTGGGACCTCAGGTAGCACAATGACCATACAACGACTCCAAAAGTTGTAAAAACATATCATTTTGTCAGCCACAATGCGGCAAACAAAAGGCTTTGGATCTAAGAAGCAACTGCCTGATGCAATAGGCGAGGCATTGGCGATGAGCACCTACGCAGCTGATACAATGGTGATAAGGAAGGCTGCAGCAAATAATGAGTGCAAAGATTAGCATGTTTGATCGAGCTGTTCCTCTGGGAGTCAAGCCGGATCAAAGCAAGCTGGCTGCATCTGCGAGGTGCATTGCTGGCTGTGGTTCAATGAAGTTCCCTCCAGAAAGCAATCTGCTCTATGAGTCATGCTATAATTTCACCTTGTTCTGAAGAACTTCATGGTCTCATGGTCTTTGTATCTAAGGAAAAGTATCTTGCGAAAAGCTTGTGCGTCTCATGCAAGTTAAGAAAAAATGATGCAATGCTGTCTGTGCAAGTGTGTGTGCGGACTTGCGGCTGCTGATTCACAGCTTTTTGCCACTCATGTGAATATGAAGCTATGGCTGCACCGAACATGCAATGCGCATGGGCAAGCGACAAGGAAAAATGATGTTGGCAATCCTCCATGCCCCACCCATGTACAACTGTTGCTAGAAGAAAAAGCGATGTTTGCATTTGTCCACATTCCATAGATAGTTCTTAACCACAGAAACTGCATGCATTAAAGTTGGAATGACAGGCCAACTTCCCAATGTAGCGGCTGCTGATAAACGGTACCGCAGCAGGAGCACTCGTTCTCAGCGGAGACCGCTTCTGCTCGAGCTAAGGTGCTCAAGACAGACCTGCTCAAAACAGCTGGTGGTTGTGAAGGTTGCCCAACCGGAGGCCATCGTTAGTAGGTTGGAGACCATCGCAAGTAGGTTGGAGGCGATCGCTAATAGAAACAACTAAAAAAGAAAAGGAAAGAAGGTCTAATACAGTTTGCTATTTGGTTGGAGGCCATCGCTATTAGGTTGGAGGCCATCGCTTCACAACATCGTCTCTTGCTGCTGCCGTGGCCTTTCAATCCCTTTCACATTGCTACGAGTGGCGGGGCTCCTGCACCCAAGAAAAGTCATTGAAAGTCTACCAAAAGCACTGGCCAATTCTAATCCTGAAGCAACACACTTTGCTTGGACCTCTTAGGCTCTTGCTTGGTGAAATCTGTGTCGCCCATATCAACGCTGAGCTCCCATTTCAGTGCAGTTTTCTCAAACCAGCCTGGCGGCATTTGTGTCAACACTATCCTCGAGCATCTCGCCAGCTGAAATTCCAAAACTGCAAGATGTCTTCATATCTCTTGCATTCCATACTCAAACAGGCGCAGCTTTACGAGAAGCTGTGCATTGGACACATATGCCTCAAAAACAACCCAAACCTAAAGAACGACGCGAGAACCCATGAACGCCCGGCCCAGTTGACTCAGTGTCCTGCGATGATCTCCACGCTGCTGAGTCATGTAGGCTGTTCTGCCCTTGTCAGAGTCCTTGTCCAGTAACAGCTGTTGAGAAGGCGTTTAGCGACCACAACCCTGGTGGCAGAGTATATAGAGAAATGCTATCTTCTGATGCCCCTTCAACAGATTCCATGGATGGTAAAGGAAATTGTCTGCTGTGCCTCATGACCAACTCTTTTGGAGAAGACCTGGCCACTGTCGGGGTCTCTACGAAAAAAGGGCAGGAATACAGGAAAGAGTGAGTCATGAGCTGCTTTTGCAGAATTCACAACATCGAATTGTGCTTTGGCCTGCTTTTGCTGCGGATCCTTGAACACAAGCATACACCTTACACAAAAAGTGGGTCGATCCAGCGTCCAAAAAACCCTCTTTGCATGTTATGGCACTACTGTCCTTCTGATTCTGATCGAGGTTGGAACTCAACACCTGGATTCTCAGCGTGCCTGTACTTCACTGTCAGGACCTGTCAGGAACAAGAACGCTACTAGGAGCAAGGGCATCGCTACTAGGGGCTCCTGGCATCGCTACTAGGAGCGAGAAGAAATGAAAAGCAAAAATGATTACCAATGAATACAATAGCAAAGCATCGCCAATGAATACAGTAGAACGTGTGTGCAAGGCCTGATGCTGAGGCACCGTTTCAACGAAGCACTTTTCCTGACCCTGCATAGTGCAAGAATTCAGCAAAGGAACTCATGAAGAGAATGTCATTGCTCCTCATGGAGGGTGAAGTAAGCTGCCTGGCATAAAGTAGATCATATACAAATGGACTGCTGAAAGTCTACCTATTTTGCCTCATCTCACCATTTAGGTGTGTGACTTAGGACTCTCGGAAGTAGACATGGGGCCTTGACGAGGAAGAGTCTCAGGCTTGCTAGGAGCAGCCAAACCTTGGCAAAAACAGAGGGGTTGGAATTAAGTGGGTACCTCGGGGGTAGCGATTTTATAGTGCTAAAATGCTGGGACCACCCCCCCTCCAATGAGGGTCACTTTTTGACCCTATAAAATTGAGGATAACGTAGGAAAAGAGTTCAACAACAAAGATTCAGCTCTATAGAGTTGAGGGCCATCAGTCTGTCAAAAGCTGTAGAAAGTTGTGAATATTGGTGGTTTTTGTCTATAAAAATGCAGGTCCCAAGGTACTCCTGAACAGGTGTGCTTGAGTTGTAGTAAGAACCTGGTTCTCTATAGAATCAAGGTACATGACAGGTACATGGGTCTCACAAAAATGTAGTAAGAACCTGGTTCTCTATAGAATCAAGGTACGGGGGTCTCAAAAAAACATTAAAATGCAACTTTCTTGGAAGGCATTGATTTGCCAGTTGGTAGGATGCATTAGGATTTTCCAAAGTGTTTCATATAAAGCGTTCACTTGCTAGGATGCTCCAAATTTGCTAGTGTCATCCTGACTCATCCAAGATCATCCAAGAACCCATTCCCCAGGGTTCGTTTGAGCAATCCCAATTGCGTACTCTCGGAATCAGGCGAGTTTTGAACTGGATGCATTGAAAAAAACATCAGTCTCTATAGAATTGCAGTTCCTAACATGCAAAACCATGCTAATATATAAGTCTCTATAGAATCAATATACCTAAGACATCCAGAATCCCTTCGCTATACTTATAAGCCTCTATAGAATCAAACTTGTAAAAAACAACAATTCTCTATAAAATCGAGGATCTTGAAGGACAGGACTTTACAACCTCCATATGAGCCAAGAAAAAATGGCTAAACAAATCGTCTTATCGGGGTCCCAACCCCCGCGATTCTGTAGAAGAAATTCCATCCCCTATGCAAAAACATTGTCAATAATCGGCGCATTAGCAAGAAACTGTGCTTCTGCCAACGATGTCCTCTATCGTGTCAGGCTAACAATACAAAGGCCCCAGCTCGCTGCATGCCGCACCCTAGGCGGCCTGCGTACTTCAACATTGAGTTTGCACCACATATGCTGCAACAATCACGCAAAGTTTAGCAACAAATCCACACGAGACACTCCCAGAGGCACTCCCAACAAACCCTTCGGGGAAGGTGCCTAGCCGGGCCTAGCCCTAGGGCCCCTAGCTGCTCTGCCTCAGCTGTTCGGACCCTCCTCCGCCTCATTCGCTGCCTTTTGATCCAAACGCTGCAAACGCAACTGCTTCGGGCAGGCTGAGAGCGAGCGAGCGGAAGAAAATAGTAGAAGACGAAGAAGAAGAAGAAGAAGAAGACAAAACAAGGCATTTCAAATCATCAGTGCCAATTTTAACAACTGTTGCGCTGTCCCTAGCTGGACAGCCATATTAAACTGACCTGAAGGATCTGCAACGGTCTTTGCAAACCACAACGCAATGCAACAATATCCATCAAATTGTCTCCAACATTCTATACACACCTAAAATGACCTAAAGCATTTGTTTGCACGGTGGCTGCAACAACAATGGAACGCCTGCACACTCTACACTCTGGACCATTCACCTTTTTCGTGTCGCACGTGGGTCTTGCACAAAACCACCCCTCAAGTTCTGCTGAGCTAGCTGGTCAGTGATGTTCACAGGCCACGGATGTGGTATCCACTAGCTTGCGCAGAAATTGGGCCTGGATACGCTTGCATGTGAGCAAAATAAAAAACATATCGAAGTCAAGCAAGAGCGCCAGCCTTTCGCCAGTCTTTGGCTTCTCCCCTGGCAGTCAAGCAGCTCAACCTCTTCTTGCCAAGCAAGACTTTTGCAAACCATTATATGTATGACAGGCCAACAGCGCCCTCTCATACATCCTTCCATGGTTGATTCTGCAATGTTCACCGTCATGTCGTAGGTGCCTGCGAAGTTACACGTGATACAAACTGTACCAAAACTTGAACAGCTGAGCTTGCTCTTTTTTGAAGCAGGAACTACCCAGCTTTCCTTTATATGTTGTTCAACTCCATCTTTCCTGAAGGAAACGATTATCAATCGTTTGAGTACTTCAGTAGTTTTACAATGGTTTACTCACACAGCCCGACCATAGTCAGCCCAGTTGATTGTCAGCTTGTCTCCATCCAAAGACCAGTGCCTCAGAGGTTTGAAACTGTCTGATTGCGGTCTATGACTCATGATTGCATGAGAACAAGACGAAGTTCGGATATGTTCAGATGCATTCTTTCGCCTTACTTTTACTTTGGCAACTCAACTTGCAAGTCTGGGGCGCAGGATCCTTCATCTGTGAACCAAGTCCCGCAAACAATCCAGTCAAACAATGTCAAACATTCCCTGGATACGCGGTCTCTCCTAGTCGCTAGTCTCAACAAAACTCTTTGCCCATTCATTGTCAGGTTCGCCCATCTTGGGGAAGATTCCTCCACAAGGCAGGGAGTCCAAGAGGAATCTCCTTACTACTCACCAGTCCAGGCAAATGTCAAATGTCAAGCTCAATCGTTGACAGGATCTTGTTGAAAATGCTTGGATCTGAGGAATCCGACAAAGAGGAATTCTGCGACGAGTAGTCACCCGGCCAAAGATGTGCATTGCCAGGTTTGCAAATGACTTGTGAAAATCTCTGCATGTCTGTCAAGAGGAATCTCGCTGCTCATCACTAGTTGAGCCAATCTCATCACTAGTCCAGCCAATCTCCTTGCTTAGTCTCTGCCAGGTTCGCAATCTCGCCAATTCATCGCTTTTTCTGCCAAGCAATACTTCTTCGAAATTGTCAGTGTTGAAGTGAGCAAGGTCCACTTGATGCTGCCTGAGGAGCCAAGTATCACTGAACTGCTGGCCGCAAATAAGACAGGTCTGATGTCGACCGTCTAAGCTTGCCAGCTCAAAATGTCTAGTGTGCTGCATCTGTTCTTTTCGTGCTTGCCATTGATCAGCCTTTGGGAGAGTGCTATCATCGGGGCAAATGAGCTCTTGCAAGGACTCGGCCTCATCAACTTTCACCTGTAGACAAAGTCGCAGCTGCTCCAGAGCTTTTGGATGGACCCTGGTCGTTAAGTTCCTCCCCAATTCCTGAGCATCATATGTTCTTATGAAAGCATGCTTGAGTGTGACCAAACAACAAACGGGGACTTACCAAATTTACCAAGCCTCAATTGGGTCCTCCACATGAAAGCTCTTTCGCTTGCCCCAAAGGTTTCGGAAACGCTCCGAATCGATTTTGTGACGTTCTCCCAGCCGCACTGACAGAACTTCACCATTCCAGTCAAACTCTTTGGCATAGAAATTGAAGAAGCCACGCAGCAAAGTTGCAGCACTTGGAAGGTCTGCAGCACTTAGAAAAGCCATGCTCTGCCACGATACATGTTCGCGCCTTAGAAATGCTGTGTCAAAGCGCTGCTCACCTCAGTCGGGATGCTCACCTCATGTCAAGCCAAAGAAAGAGTCCAATTCTTGGAAACAAATAAGGCGCTCACATTGAACAAGGTGAGATCGTCTGGCCAGTTGATGCAGTGATGGCAGCTGATCGCATACTTGAACCTTGAATAAAAATTAAGGCTAAAGCAGGTGCGAGATGGAAAGCTCAACTCATGCATTCCCGGTATCATGTGAACAGCTGGCAAGTGCACCCAAAAACGTGCCTACTCAACAAACTAAAAGCAAACAATTGCCAAGTTTATGTGAGGTTCATAGTATATGGCCTCAGAGATCAGATTTCTTTTGGTTGGACTGTCCTTTAGCCTAGCAAATCAAAGCTGATAAGTTGAACTGAGGTTAAAGCCATCAATGAAATGACATATGACGGGATATAACCTGACTGTGCGACCACCAGGCGAAAAAGCTGGCAGGGCACCAAACATGCCAAACAGGTCGGTGAATGTTAAAGAATCTGATCAACCTGCCCAGCAGCCATCTTGCTTCTTCAATACACCCGCTGCCCGTGCCCAGTATTTCAGTGCCAAGATCAGGCTCCGAAGTCGAGGATCAAGTTGCACATAGGCACCTCAATATCTCTTGCAATCATGCTTGGCTGTGCCTTTGATCACACTGCCTTGTCCTTGGACTGAGTTCTTCACGGATAAGGTGCGAACTGAAGAGTGGAAGCAACCTCTGGCAACTCAGCACACATCTGCACGTAGAATAAGAGCGAAACGTGTTGCTCGCCACATGTACAGAGACAGCTTCACCAATCGTCACGGTTCCATGACTGATGTTCTCTTCCACCTCCATTCCAAGCTGCCTGCATTTCAAGGCAACCTCACGGAGCATTTCTGAGCGTGACTTTGTCACTTTCGCAGCAGCCTGAGCTCGTTTTAGAGTCATTGGCACATAGATTGTAGCATCAATGTCAGCGTCGGTTTCCGCAGTATCCGTGAAGCAAGAGCCATATCCCAGTATCTCAGCGTCTGAACCCAGGCTTTCCTTCAGGATCCTCTCAATCCTGCCAAGAAGCCTTGCTCTCCGAACGCGATCAAGGGGTCCAGAAGCTACTGCGGCCACAAATTGGGTCAGTTCGGCGGTCATTTGTTCAACGGACTTCTTACCTGGGCCAGGAAATAGGTAAGCGGATGAAAGGAATTGAAAAGAGATGTTAGTGAGAGGGCCTTGTTTAAAATAGGTTCTTCTGCAAGAAAATTGAACAGGTAAACAGCAACAAAGGGAACTCATGGTGCACATAAGAACCATTGTGGGTAGTTGAACTTCTAGAAGATCATGACAAGGTGGGTCCGAGGAGTCCGAACTGCAAGATTTACAAGCCCTGAAAGGCTGTTCGTGACTCAAACCAAGGTTTCACACCGTCAACCTTTTAGCCTTTGTGGGCCCCATCGCCACCCAAGATGCTTTGTCTGGGGCCTGGCTCTTTCGAGGCAAGCAAGCAAGCAAGCAAGCAATCCAGCCAGCCAAGGCAAGGCAGGACACCACAACTGTCACATCCTACAGTATATACATATTTTCCTGTCCTGGGTTGAGGATAAAATGGGAGGGAACATACACAAGGTTGTGAACAGGCACTAAATAAACGGCTTGTTGATCTGCGCAATGGACGTGTGAAAGCTGCTGCAAACGCCGCCATAGACCAGAGGCGGTTGGCAGTGCCTTCCCACACGCAAGGCAAGTCTTTGCTTGCAGCAGCACTCTAGCTATGCTGCAATAACGCAATTCTCGGAAAAAGGAGCATCTGTGTAAAAGCAAAGTAGTCCGTGCCTTTGCGCTGCTTTGCCCACAGAGACAGGGAATCTGTCGCTGTGTACAGCGCTTTAACAGGCTGCGCTGACAAGACCAAACCAGTGCTGCTCAAGGTGGGCGATGCCCGTGAGGCCATGAGGCAAAAAGCGTCCAGACTCACCGAGGGCCGTCAACTCATAGCTCTCCGATCACAGCGTTTCAGGCAGGTCGTGCGCAATAGCCCGGTCAGTTGCCAGGCTGGTTTGATTGCAGCAACCAAGTCATTGCGTTAAGTTTTTAATTTGCTTGCTAGCGTCCAAGTCGCATTGTCTAGTTCAGGGCATCTAGGGTGACTCAAAGATCTGTTCCTGTCAAGCAGAAACCAGGATCTAGTGACTGCCATCCGTGTCGTCTTGAACATGTTATGGCCATATCGCAGTCTCCGTGTTCTGGGTCCATGGGGCCCACAGGGGTTGAATCAAACAGTTGAAAGTTCCTAGTAGCGTCCTTGCAGTAGGGACGCACGTTTAATTTTGGAATTGTTTTCTTTGTTTTCGGATGTCTTTTTTCAAAAACATTGGAATAGAGCAGGTTTCTTATTAGTACCTAGCTAATTACAGCAATTTCGTGTCCTGAGCCGAGACAGGGGTGTCGTAGCTGGCCAAATACATTGGAATAGTGCAGGTTTCAAATTACAGTAATTGCTAGCTGATTAGACTGATTTGGGAGCTGTCGCATCTGGCAAAATACATTGGATTAGTGTAGGTGTCAGAGAAAGTCCTACGTTAGCAGAGAAACAGTAAAGAGAAAGAGAACCAGCACAGGAGGCATAATATATGATTGGTTAGAATTTAGAAGTTTATGCCCCGGGGAGTTCACCTTAATTGATTTCGTGGCAGGCGCGGGAGATGAAGTGCAGATTTCGTGGCGCGGGGGGGGTTGGGCGGGGCGCAGCGCCCCCCCCGCAGCACACCAGATCCAAAGGTTAGAAAGCAAACAAATGGAAAAGCAAAAACAAAAAGAGAAAGGAGAACAGCTGCCAAAGCAGAAAAGCAACAAAAGCAAAGAGCAGAAAGACAAAAAAACACAAAAAGCAGAAAAGCAGTAGAAGCAGAAAAGCAGCAAAAGCAGAAAAGCAACAAAAGCAGCAGAAGCAGAAAAGCAAAAGCAGAAAAGCAACAAAAGCAAAAAAGCAGCAGAAGCAGAAACGCTGCAAAAGCAACAAAAGCAACAAAAGCAGCAGAAGCAGAAACGCAGCAAAAGCAGAATCCGAAAAAAAAATACAAAAAATAAAACCAAAAAATAAAAAAATAAAAATAAAAACGCCTCTTTGCAGTAGTGATGCCAGGAGCCCCTAGTAGCGTCCTTACTCCTAGTAGTACGGCCAGGAGCCCCTAGTAGCTTCTTGTTCCTAGTAGTCTTGCAGAGGTGCAAATATTGTTTTGCTTGTTCCTCGTGGCAAATGTCTCCTGTCATTGCTTCTCTCAAATCACACAACCAGTGGTTTCATCACAGAGCTGAAAAGCTGCACGGCCCAGGTGTGATGAGAGGATCAAGTCTTGGCTCCACAGTTTGTGCATTTCACCTGGCTTGCCCATTCAAGGAAAAGGGCGAAGGATGCAAGTGATGCCGCTTTGCATAAAGACTTTATTTGGGTCTGGTCATCTGGTACTTTGGTGGACTTCGTCGTTGTGGTGATGCTTGGTGCATTTTAATCAATCATACTGTATATCGGTCATTTATGGATTTGTATGATCTTTTGCCCGTTTGAGTATCGAATTAATGTGGCAATCTGTCGTAGAAACCTCTGATTTCTTGCGAAAAATGGTGATCTTCAATACTTATCATGTCGAGTGTCGATGCGTCTGTGCGACATTGGCTGCTGGCCAAGTGTGCCAAATAGATTATGAAGGTTTGACGGCTTTCAGTTCCCTGCGCATGAGCTGGAAATTCATCACACTGGAAGTGGTTGTAGCCATCAGCCTGAACTGGCAGGCACAAATCATCGACCAATTCTGCTTGTTGTACACATAGGAAAACCTGAACTTAAAGCAAAGATGATGATCATCAGTTCACAGCCTTGAACTTTACTGGAAATTTGCCTCCTGACCTCAGGTGCTTTGGTCAGCAATCTCATGACTGCAAATCAGTAATCAAACAGCGTCTTACAAAAGCTGAGCTGGTCGGCCATTCAAAATCCCATTCTGAACCAGCACCATCTCCCAGGAGGAGGGCCTGAAGGCTTGACACTTCAACCAGTGAGACCGTGAAGTTGCTATATGCTTCTTGAAACGTCAGCACCTCAAGCGGAGATAGCTCCCGACTAAAGGCGGCCTCCACTGTGGTAAGAAACAAAAGCGACCCATGTTTTGCCTTCATGTACATCACTCACAAAAGGTCCATGCATTTCTGTGTATGTTGTCTAAAAGCTAGATCCATCTTGCTTGGTGTAGGAGGCATATCTGACTTGAGGTGAATGAAAGCAACTCATTGCTCATCGAGCGTTTCAAAGCATTCGAAAGAAAGTAACCCTTGCCAGGTACAACCAAATGGTCCAAGAGCACCAGAACGAACCAAACTACTTCCGAACTACAAACTCAGTGGCATACTGCCGATTCCATCGGGGAGTGCTCGTCTGAGCCTCGATTATGCCACTATCAAGGTCAAACAGTTCTGCCATTCAACCTTTGCCCGCATTTGCTTGTACCCTTTGCATTCAAGGGCCGTAGCATCACCTGCTGTTTGGGACGACAGCGCCCGTAAATGCAAAGACCTTGGCATTACTTCTCACAGAATTACAAGCGGCTGCGGAAGCTGTCATCCTGACCTAAGAAAGTGCCCTTGTTGGTCAGTTGCTGTTCTTTATGGCTGCCCAAGACCATAGCGCCTAGTGTTGTAGGATCAGGCTGGAGAGCCAGGAACCTATGCAAACCGAAGACCTTCAAACTGGACTGCCAAACCGGGGACCTTTACAAAGAAGACCAAGAAACCCAAGAAGACATGTTTAGATCCCATGTACATCATGCTGCGGACAGCCCAAAAACTGTACAAATTTACTTTGCAAGCAATAGGCAGTCTGGCCTTGCGCCAGTTCTTCTCATCATCGGACTTTGGGACTGCATTCCCCTAAAGTGATGGGCAAACATGCTTGGAAATCTTGTCAAATCACAATTCAGTAAGCTCTGGATGCGTACATCCATGGACTTGGTCTCTGCATCAAATTTCAACTCATACCTGCAGCAATCTGACATCTCAAACTGAAAGGGTCAACTTCAAAACGAGGCTAGCACTTTCCAAATCTTTTCCAGTCTATCCTAAGCTTCACAAGACTCCAAGAGAAGATATCGAACTCCATAAACATGTGCCAAGGCTCTTCACAATGTCTCCTTCTAGCTCCCACCTTTCGACCGAAGCTTGTGAAGTGTCGTCCCGAGTCTTCCATCCGTCTATCGTCAAGGTGAAATGACGTCTGTGCTCTCCAGCGCCTCGAAGGTTGTTGAAACTTCGGACAAAAGAAGACTCCGGCCTTGGAGCTATTAGATCGGAGGCCATTGCTATTAGGGTTGAGGCCATCGCTAGCAGGTTGGAGGCCATCGCCAGTAGAGTGGAGGCCATCGCCAGTAGGGTGGAGGCCATCGCTAGCAGGTTGGAGGCCATCGCTAGCAGGTTGGAGGCCATCGCTCTTAGTTTGTGTTACCTAGCCAAGGCCGCCCTCAATCCTCAGACCAATACCGGTCTGAAGCAAATCGGAAAGCTGCCTCCCGACCAACTTAAATCATACCTCATGTTGTCATGCGAGAAAAACACGAAACAAGCAATGAAGGTTTTGATTCAAAAGCAAATCATGCGTTTGAAGTCTCTGCAGGGCGCACCATCCAACGATGTCAGACCTCAAGCTGACACTTCTCTCCCCAAGCACTGGTCGGTCTGTCAAAAGACATGTGTTTCACCGACCTGTTGAGGCTCAAGCGGCTTCGCCATCGCTTCAAGCACAAGATGGCTCTGCACTTGAGAAAGAGGCGGCAAAGAAAAAACGATTGGTCAAGGGGAACGAGGCAGCTGAGCTGTTTCACTGGTTCTGCTAAGAGAAAATGACCAAAGCACAGTTTAACATGTTTCAAAATGGATGGTCACTGCCACTTTCAACAGCCTCGAACTCAACTTAGTGACAACGACAAATCTTCAACCAGCTGAACATATCCAGCTGGCCTGTTCTTCGAACATGTGCCAGCAGTGAGGTGACACAGCTATGGCCAAAGGCCCTAACATTGGCCTGGCTGAGAGAATACGTGCATGCCTTCAGCAAGTGCACTTTGTGCTGGTTGGATATGCTGCGTAGTGGGGCCCTTCAGTAGTCGTTGCATCAATTCCATTCGAGGACCAGCAAAGTGACTCTAAGCTGCCACTAACACGGCAGGGACACTGGCAGTGTCTCATTCTCTGCTGGTGGTTCTCCACCTCATAAAACCGAGGAACACTGCTGCGCAATGTGCAACTGAAGTGGCTCTGAGCAGCCATGGCATCGCAAGTGAGTCACAACACACGCAAAGCCTGGCATAAGGGCGCCGTCAACGCCAAAAGCTTTCCTTGGTTGACCAAAAAACAAGCAAATGCAAAAGTGTGCCTTTGCTAGCAACAAACTGCCTGTATTGTCCACACGGTGATCAAAAGTGTTCTGACAAGGAACGCATCTGCATCAGGTGCATCACCAAAGAATTGATCCTACCAATATTGCAAGGTACGCCGCATACAATCTGCATGGAGAAACTGGAAATAATCCCATCCTTGTCATTGTCCAGCAATGCATCTAGCCTGTGATTCGTGTTTCAAAATGCTCGCTCCACTTAATGAGGACTCCTCTCCAAATTACAGGTGTTTGACGTTTCCAATTTGATCAGCTAAACAAGCTAAACAATTCAATTCAAACATGAAGGGTCGGCGAGGTGAATTTGGGTGAGTCCTGCATGGCTCAGGAAAAGGTCGCGAGAAAAGGGGGGAAACACAAAAGTTGGTAGAAAAGCAAGAAGGATCCGAGAAAGCTAGAGGATCCGATCGATCCGACAGGATCGAGCCACTCTCACTGATCCGACCGAACCGATGATCCGAGGATCCGAGTGTTGCGCATCCGATGATCCACTGCAGATCAGATTGATCTCATAATGCTCATGATGTGCTGAGCCGCGTGGGGGTGTAGAACTGATAGTTCGGCATTCTTTTGGAGTTTTACTTGGTGTGCCGAATTTATGCAGCCGTAGGCAATCGTTCCAGTGAAAACATCGCGCTGGTCAAAGTCAAGAGTCATGGGAAAAGAAGAGCCTGACCCTCGGACCCCATACTTGATTTTTGGAATTCTCACGTGGATCTAGTTGCAAAGGCTGTCTGGAAAGAAGCATCTTCAAATGAACGTTCCATTGTTAATATAGCCTTTCACTTGCAATTTAGCCGATGCTTGCTAGCCCTCACCAAATTCATTGCGGCTCATCTGTATGTTCATCATGACACACCGAATGAAGACCGGGCAACTTCCGGGGACCGTCTGAAAAACTGGTCTCCTGCTGAGTTCTGTATGTATGTGCTTGATTCATCGGAAAGTGTTGATGCATCTTTGATGGGGCCGCCTCAAGGAGCAATAAGCGGGTCCCAAAAGTTTGGATGGCCAGGTGAGACTACGGACCCGGGAGTCACATGGTTTGAACTTTGCTTGATCAATTTCCAGGGAAACGTATGCCGTACAAGTACTGCAAAGGCCTTGTATAAAGGGCTTCATCGGCGTTGCTTCATCATGTTTTGGAAGACGACCAGTCTTTGCTTCTTGAAGATGATCTTGTTAAGCAGATTGATCATTTCGGCGCACACTAGTTGCCAAGCATCTTGTCTCTGACAAACCAAGGCTTCATCGAGAGCACATAATAACATATGCGGAGTCTTTGCGTGCTTTTCCTTTTTGTTTTTGGCTTGCAGGATTCAAAGTGAGGACAAAAAATTTGTGTGGTCAACTTGTAACTTGTGATTGAATCCATCCGGAAGTTCCTCCTCAAGCATGGCCGCTTGGGAAATCAAACTTTGCCGCGTCAGATTTCGCTGCAAAGGGGTTTTCCAGCTTGTGTTATGTTCAATGCCTTCCCACCGTGTCAGCCTGACGACACAGTTCCCAAGATGCTCCGCCTGAAGGCCGTGGTCCCTGCTTCTGTCCCAAATTGCCCTTTTTCATGCCACTTGGGCTCGGTTCGGACGAGCTTTGGGGCTTAAAATGGCTGATGTGATATATTATCAGTGTGCCTCATGACAAATGCAAACAGCCAGGACGAAGCTGAACAGCCTACTCGACTTTAAAAAATGTGGATTCAAAATATTATCTTCGGAATGTGCAATAGGGCTTGCCGTCAAGCAAGCAAACACCACCTTGGCTTTACGAAACCTTTTAAGTTCAGCCTGCTTCCTCGAACAAGCTACCCCTTCTTTATCTACAAACCAAGAAAGTTATCTGTCGTTCTCAAGTGCTTTTGCCGTCTCACAACAGAAGTAGTACCAAAGAACACAATCATTGACTTTTTGCGGGTGAGGTGCCTGGAAATGCCTCCACAGGGTATGCGCAGAATCAATGCCCTAGGGTATGCGCAGAATCAATGCCCTTGTTCGAATTTGTTCAAGATTCCTCAACAAATGGGCTTGACACTTGGCCCCACAAAAACTTGATAAGTTAAAGCAATTGCAGGTGTTATAAGGATCAGTTCTAGCATTGAAAACTCTCAAATGCTGAAACTTTGAGACAAGACAGGTGTCAGTCCCAAAGATTGAAAAATACTGTTCAGGAATTGGGAGCCTATTGCGTTGCAAATGGATCAGAAATTCAAGCCTTTGTAGCTCTTGCACAAGTCAGGTTGAGGAAGTCTGCCAAAACTCAAATTTCTTCGGACTTAAAGGACCAAGACTCCAAGCCAAGGTCAAACCCATAATTTGTGAAAAATCTGGCGCACATCCTTTGCGGAATTTGTGCCTCTCGTACTGATAGTTTTGGTATGTTTTGGTAATGCGAACATCCTCTGCGCGCTTTCTCCCTGCAGAGTATCGTATTTGCGATGACTTTTGAGACTCACTGCTGAAGCACACGCACAAACTGTGCGCAGGTCTTGTATGCTTCAGTGCTGACACAACAATTCATCTGTGCATGGTTGGCAAACACATGCAAGTGTGCTATCCGAAGTCAAGCTTTTCCAAATGGGGATGTGAAAAGTCCGAGCAGAAACAAAAACACTGAGTTCCTCCTTAACTGCTTGTCACACCTCCAATGAGTTCCTTGCGGTGAGGGGACATGCACTGCAAGGTCCGTCCTCTGCAGTGACCTTTTGTTTCTCCTTCTTGGCGGTGAACTCGCGGACGCCCGTCCTGAAGAGACTGGAATGGAATGTGTCACCATGGATGTGCTACGTGCTGGCAATGGTATACGTGTGATGGGTGAGCAGCACCTTTCCAGAGATTCACAGTCTGAGATTGGGGTACGGGGTTTTGTACTACGTAGACTGCGTACAGAATGGATATGATAAAATTAATGGAAATTCCCACTTCCATGTACAAGGCCCCAGAATTCGTCCGCGAAATCTCCGAATTAAGATCAAGGATGGTGTGAAACCAAGAATTATCTAACACCCAAATGCGGTCGAATTGGAGTTCATGGCGGATCGGTGGATGCAATGATAGATTGAGGTATAGAATGAGAGCCTTGATTTCGCTGATGTCGACAAAGACGATTGTAAAAGGATTGAAGTTCCCACGCGTGGAAATGCAACCGATATTTTGTTGTTGTGGGCACCGGAAGGACCGGAAGGAGGACATTGCAAGATAGTTGTTGGCCATGTGATGCGAAGGTGTTGGTCGAGATGCTATCCCTCGTACCAGACTTCTATGATATCCCAATCAAACAACGCAGGAGGCCACTCTTCTTGTACCTTGGAAAGAGTTGAAGTTTGGAGCATATGTTCAAGATCTTTCACGTATGATATGTTGTATGTTTGCCATCTTAAGGCCCATCGTTCTTTTGGTAGCAACGTGGCATCATCCGAACTATAGGCTACTGGCCGAGCAAACATTCTTTTTTGCCCGCTCCTACTTGATTAAGTAGGTGCCTACTTAATTAAGTAAGGGACAAACTTGTTCGCTCCTAGCTACTATCCAGCTACTGGCAGGATAACTCACGCTTCTTCAGGGAAGCTCTCCCCGCTCGCACTAATGATGGGTCCTAGATTCTCAGGGAACTTAAGCATGGGTCTGTTCGGAACAGCTTTGAGACACGTAATTAGTGGTCCACTCCACTTCCAATTCAGCATGACTGGGAGGTCTGCATAACAGGATCTTGCGAAAAGTTCATCCGCTGAATGTGGCTGTCTCTCGGTGTGATAGCTTTGGATAGGTACTGTCGAATGGCCCACATGTCATCTGCCAAAGGTTTATTGACGCGGAAAAGTTGGCGTAAGGATGTGAGGGCTGTGGTGTTGCTTCTCGCCAGAGTTTAGTGAGGTGTGTCTTGCCAACAACTCGGGACTTTGCTCCATAAAAAGCAAGTGGCCAAACTGCACGGCATGACGTTATCCAATTCTTTAGGCATCCCAATTGAATTTGTTTGGTATAATTAGCAGAATTCATTTGTTTGGTATAATTCATGGAGCATCCGAGATCTTTACTTGTATTTTGGATTCTGAGTTGAAGTTGGCATTTGTGAAAAGGGATAATGCCTCTGTCCAAAAGTGCCTCACTTCATAGGATGTTCCCCAGCCCAAGGATTTTTTTAAGGTCGATTCTCATGCGGAGAAGCCACGTGTGAAAAGTCGAGGTTTGCAGGCAAACATGAATGTCCAGTTGTCTACATATGTTAATGTTAATGTACTTTGAACCGTCCGAAGACAGTGGAAAGAAGCTGGCGTGGTTACGACTATGATAGCACACACCCAAAGGAAACCGCCTTCGGAAACTCCGGTCATTGAAGGAAGTTCCTGGCCAATAATACGATGACGAATCT